TAGGTGCATTATCAACCCATTCAAACTACATTACACACAGTTGTTAACACAACACATCAATAGTGTAAATGCGCACTAAAAGACCAGATGTTTACAAGCCCTCCTTCAATTTCTTTCTCAATTTCAGGATCCTCCCTGCCATATTCAACCTTGGCATTATGATTTCTTTGGTGGACCCTATCATTTTACTACTGCTGATTACATTTGTCCAACTGTAGCACATATCATACAAAATATAACCAATAATAATAAAAAAAATTCTGCTCAGTTTTTCAGTAATTTCCCTCTGATGAGATCACAAGAAAAAATAATTTGATCAGATTTTGTCTACTAGTTATAACCTAGAAAATGAATGCCATTTTGTTGAGTCCCTATACTGTATGGACTTAATTGCCGCCATATGTTTTATTTTTTCTTGCTACTTCGTGTTAACAAATGCAGTTGTTTGTATAGATACTTGCTATTGTGTTACAGCACAGAAATGCAGGAAAATGTGTATTCTATGGCAGAATGCCGTTATTATTATTTTTTTTAACTGGCCAGCAGTGTCCTGAACTCTTGCTCAGAAAACATACACATGGCCCAGAGTGCTGGTGAGAGCAGTCTCATGTAAGTAGCAGGAAGAGTGCATCTTGCAAGACCCATTAAAGTCATTCTTGAATGCCTTCCAAGAAAAATAAAAGCCATGCACAGTTGGAAGGCTAAAAAATGTTAGCTATGTAGTGATGTTCTATAAATATACGAATCAGAACAATATTTTCTCCAAAATTATTTATGTATTGATATTTTCATTCTTCTATTTATTACTGCAATGAATACTTTATAAAGCAGCAGACTATTAAAGAAGAACATATACAGCTGAATGTAGCCTTTTTAGCCTTGTGTCTCTATATTTAAAATATAAAGAGCAATATAACCATGTCATTCCCCAAAGCTTAGCAGTGTTACTATAACTTTTTATGAATCCATGGGGGGAGATTTACTAAAACTGGAGCACTCAGAATCTGGTGCAGCTGTGCATGATAGCCAATCAGCTTCTAACATCAGCTTGTTCAATTAAGCTTTGACAATAAAACCTGGAAGCTGATTGGTTTCTATGCAGAGTTGTACCAGATTTAGCACCATGCACTTTTAGTAAATTATTGCTATTATTATACAGGATTTATATAGCGCCAACAGTTTGCTCAGTGCTTTACAATATAACAGGAGACAATACAGCAACAAGAGGGTTAGGAGGGCCCTGCTCCTTGGAGCTTACAATCTAAGAGGGAGGGGCTAGTGGTAAAAAAGGTAATAACTGTGGAGGATGGACTGGTAGGAGGAAGAGAAGATTCGATTATTAGCTGAAGGCAGGATAGGCTTTGTTGATGTGTCACCCCCCATGTGTCACCACGTCTCTCAGCTTTCATTTTATTAAGCCACAATAGGTTAATGTGTAATTGCAGGCAAACAGCTAAACACATCTTTTCAATTTTTCAGACATCCCACCAGACATGATCAAAATTCTGACTATTTACTATCTATACTGCAGTCAAAGTCATGCAGCTTGGCCAAGACAGTGATTGAATAGTGCAGAAGCAGCTGCTTACCGGTGAGGTCATCTCTATGCTCTACCCTCCAATCAGCAAGTATCCTTGTTACATTACCGCAGTGTGCCGTGTATAAAAACCTGGCTGGCTGTGCCTTTTTCTACTCTGAATGCCCATTTACGGGGCAATAAAGGGGGGCTAGAACTAAACAGATGGAAGTAATATTTAAATATCCATTGAAGTTCTTCTTAGAATAAATAATTGGATTAGATGGGGATTTCGTACATCTGCCTACACTTATACTAGTAGGATGCTATTAAAGGCCCAGTATGACAGGTGAGCTTTATATATTTATTTTTTTATTACAGGTACTTATATAGCATCTTCAACTTATGCAGCACTTTACATATATTATGCATTCACATCAGTCCTTGCCTTCAAGAAGCCTACAATCTATTGTCCCTAACTCACATTCATACATACACATATTAGGGCCAATTTAGACAGGAGCCAATTAACTTACCAGAATGTCTTTGGAGTGTGGTAGAAAACCAGAGCATAGATATGTGTTCATCTGTGCATACACTATATGGGTTTGTAGAGGACTTTAAATTAAATTGTTGGTAATATTAAGACTAAACCACAAGCATGAATTAAAGAATCAAATTAAATGAAAATGTGTCAACTGAAGACACGTCAAAAGCCAGAACATTCAGTAATGTCGAACTCCTGTTCCTTGCTTTGCTTATTCCTGTTGCAGCCCCTACAGCACTACAGGACACAGTAGTAATATAGGGGTTGGCAGAAGAAACTATTGAGCATGGCGGGGAACCAGGAGATCAACACTACCTGAAGTTTCAAAAAGACTTAAGTGAAAAATGTCCCTGCATCAGAGTGAAGTACAAATACCCTGTCATTTTTTACATTTTTGGTACATTGTAAAAACTTGAAGGAAACCTTGTTGCAGTTACTTAATTGCTTCTTCTTTGTAGATATTAGGGAACATTGCAGCACCCTGTTCAACTATCCCCGAAAACTCTCAAAACTCTAAACCTGCAGCACATTACAAAAGTTGTCAGCAATTTGACTACAGATCTCCACTGACCACTAAGCAAGGCGACGGGTATTACAGGAAGAAGGATATGAGAATTCTGTGAACTTGAATACTGTTGCTAAAATTAGAGTTAAAAAATTGGAATTTTTGAGTGTTGGAAAAAAATGCCTGGCGTCAAAAATGGAAAGGTGCCATATTTGGTCAATGACATCACTTGGGATCCCTGTGGCTGTTGTTTACAGGCTATTCCTTAATTCTGGCAACAAATCTACAAATTTTTGTCCAGTCTGTGAACTTCATAAATCCCAGGGGTTCACCCCCAACCCATTGTAGCTCCAAATGTGAACTGCATTTGTTGAAGGGATTAGCACTAATGAATGATGGACATGGTAACTATTGTACTCTTGCAGTTTTCAGTTGTGTATGGTAACCTGTGGAACTGGTTGTAGAAAAATGTGGACATGTGCAGGGAAGGATGAAAGGGTATTTAAGGCCTTTAACTTTAATAGCTCAGCCAGTTATTCCAGGAATTCTAAATAATTTCAGCTCTTCTGTGGAAAACAGCCGACGATTTGTAAATATCTGCATATATAGGTGAATCAATGTAGCCCAGGTCAAATCCTAAACAGTTTGATCATCTTGTCACTTTGTTCATTAGCATTTTGTGTCACAATTTTATATAAATACTGTATATTTTACCTATCCGGTATTTACATCACACCACACGCCATTTCTCTATATGCTCCTGATAAGCACCAAAGTTGAATCATTTTACTGTGTTATTATTTTACTAATGTACAATGACTTGTAAAGTAAATTTCAATTTCAGATATAGGAGAAGGGCCTCATGGGTTTAATTAGCTTAACCTGGCTAGTTATCAATAAATGTAAACTAACCCAATAAGCCCATATATGCTTTTAATTACATGTAATGTTGTCAGTGAAGCATAAGCAATATCCAGTCTCACTACAAGACCACCCAGTAAAAATCTGTGTTCTTGGCCTAATGGAGTGTGACTGTAAACAAGACAGCCCCAATGCAAACAAATTAGTTTATGACATTAAATACTGATAAAGTTCCAAGAAAGCTGCAAAAAAAACAAAATGTAACGCTTACTTTGAACTGAATAGGGTGAGAACAGGTTGGAACCTTTGTCAAGTTTTTATTGCTGCCTGTATATCTGATGGGAAGGTTTTCCTCATTTCTTGTTTGACATGTGTCTGACAAAACAGGAAGTGAGGGGAAATCTTCTCAATGAGCCAAAGACAGCAGTTAATCAAAGTTTGGGCTAAGTTAGGCTTTGAAAGCCATGTTAAATTGTCTTTATGGGTCACGTATGTCTGACAACCCTTTTCTCATTAAACCAGGAAGGTGTTCGTTTGTCATTGTTACCACACACAGTATACATTTACCAACAGTGTAAATCTTATTAAATGGTCTCTTAATGATATATGTCTACAGTACCAATAAATATTTACCATTTTGACATTACCATACATCCTGTTTCAAAAATATTTGCCACAAAACAAAATTGCAGATTGAATTGTGAATGTGTCATATATTCGTATTAGTAGGTGGTGCCCCCCCCCCCCCCCCTTCCCTAAAGTAAACCTTTATCCTTTTTTACTGATTTTGTTTTTAATTGATAAGGACTACCAAAAGTATGCTTACTATGTCAATGAATTATGATTGGCGACTGTAAATATTACTTGGACCTTTCAGCTACACCAAATAATTTTAGATGCCCCACCCTCTAATCAAAGATGCACTGTCCATACATACCTTCAAAGCTACGTTCACCTAGATATTCCAAACTCTCATTCATCTTCAAGTGGCAAAGACCCCTTTGGCTATTTAGGCACTGGCAATTAAATGGTGAATAATGTGAGACAAGCTTAGTTTTGATAGGGAGAAATTCAGAATGGTGCAAGCCTGGGTGGACAGTGTTACACCAAAAGTTAGCTGGAAAATTATTTGCAGGCTGCTACTTGACGTCTGATTACAGAGTAACCGGGTAGCTGATCCCCACCACCCATCTCAGCTCATCTGCCTGCCCTTTCTACCAGTTGGCTGTGTAAACTGTCGGCTGTACTGCAACAAGGGAGAGGTAAGCTGCAGGTTGTCTGTGTAACTCCTCACTGCCTCCTTCTTCCTGCCAGCAGCGCAGAGTTTAACCCCTTGCCTACCGGGCACTTTTACCCCCTTCCTGCCCAGGCCAATTTTCAGCTTTAAGCGCTGGTGCACTTTGAATGACAATTGCGCAGTCATGCAACACTTTACTCATATGAAATTTTTAGTATTTTTTTGAGACAGATAGAGCTTTCTTTGGTGGTATTTAATCACCTCTGGGGGGTTTTTTTATTATTTGCAAAACAAAATAAAAAAGACGGAATTTTGAAAAAAAAAGTTTCTTAGTTTTTGTTCTAAAATGTTTCTCCTTCACTGATGTGCGCTAATGAGGCTGCAGTGATGGGCACTGATAGGCTGCACTGATGGGCACTGATAGGCGGCACTGATGAGGAGGCACTGGTAGGTGGCACTGATGGGCATTGACAGGCATCACTGATGGGCACTGAAAGGCAGCACTCATGTATGGCATTGATAGGTGGCACTGACTGGCGGCACTGACTGGCACTGTTAGGCAGCACTGACAGGCACAGTTGGGCGGCACTGATAGGCATCACTGACTGGCACTGATAGGTGGAAGTGATAGGCGGCACTGACTGGCACCGATAGGTGGCACTGACTGGCATTGATAGTTGGCACTAAAAGGCAGCTCAGATGGGCAAGATATGTGGCATTGATGTGCACTGGTAGGCACTGATATGTGACATTGATGTAGCACTGATCAAATTATTGTGGTCAGCACTGTGACTTTTTGCCAACGATGTTGTTCATGTATTTACCCTTCTCTCATCTTGTTTGTTACTGATCTAGATTGCTTGACCCTGCCCATATCTCCTTCCTCCATTGTCAACCCTGTTTCCTCCTTCCACCTGCCTCGGCCTCTGCCTGGACACTAACTACTCTCTTGCCTGCTGCCTGCCTTGATCCTTGCCTAGACACTGACCCTTCTTGCTGGCCATCAGCCTATCACTCCTTGCAGAGTGATCTGTTGAAAACCATGGTGCCACTTAAACTCTGCACCTCAAGTGTGCCCATGGCTCTTGCCAGGGGTGTTCGCCATAACACCCAGGTTATGTCCATGACATACATGGCATTTCTGTAGATAGACTACAAGTCCCAGTAATGCTTGTTGTGCTAACACATGAACCACAGAATCAACATTTTCAAGTGTGCAATGATGTTGATATTTGCTGTAAACAAACTTTACCCCTCTGATAGTAGACCGCACAGCAGGCTTTTGTTGATATCATGTCTGTCAGATGTGTAGGTGATTTGTTTTTCACTGGAAAATTGAGATTCACACATGGATATTGATGAACATTGGGCACTGAATAAATGGGACACTCTAATCAAACCTGAAAAGTAATCTTTGTGATACATACACTTACCGGTCACTTTATGGGTACAACTTACTAGTGCCAAGAAAATATCCCCCACACCATTACACCACCACCAGCCTGAACTGTTGATACAAGGCAGGATGGATCCATGCTTTCATGTAGTTTATGCCAAATTCTGACCCTACCATCTGATTGTCGCAGCAACCAGTCTGCCCATTCTTATCTGACATCAACAAGGCATTTTCACGCAAACAACTGCCAGTCACTGAATATTTTATTTTTTTCTGACTATTCTCTGTAAACCCTAGAGATGGGTGTGTGTGAAAATCCCAGTAGATTTTGAAATACTCAGACCAGCCCGTCTGGCACCAACAACCATGCCTAAATCAAAGTCACTTAAATGCCCTTTCTTCCCCATTTTGATGCTTAGTTTGAACTTCAGCAAGTCAACTTCACCACATCTACATGTCAAACTGCTGTCATGTGATTGGCTGATTAGCAGTTTGTGTTACCAAGCAATTGAACAAGTGTACCTAAGAAAGTGGCTAGTGAGTGTACAGGAGACACAGTCTACCCTCTTAATACTTTTTTCATCCAGGTTCTGGTGTAGCGTACTAGTTCTTTTTGCTGATAAACTGGTGATCTGAGAACCCCTGGTTTTCTATTAGGAGAAATATTCCTAAACAAACCCACTAAATACTGAATTAAAATTCATTGAGGTCAGATCAGTAAAATTTACTTTCAGCGGAAGTTTGAATCCAATGTTTGTGTGATGAAATCGCAGCTCCCCTATTTATTTCACAATCCCATTCTTACATCAGTTTCCTCAGTCCTCTTACATCAGTTTCCTCAGTCCCCCTGAATATCACAATCCCCATTCACATCACAGTTTCTCCTTCACAGTAGTGTTCTGAATCTCCACTCCATAACGGTATCCTCTGCCCCCCTTTACAGCACCTCCCCACAGTGGTTTCCTCTGCCCCCACCTTCAAATAACAACTCCCCACAGCTCCCCCCCTTTACATCACAGCCCCACGGCACCTCTGGCACCCCCTTCACATTACACAGCCCCCTGCACATCTAGAACCCCTTCACATTATACAGCCACCTGCACCTCTGGCACCCCTTCACAATACACAGCCACCTGCACCTCTGGCACCCCTTCACATTACACTGCCCCCTGCACCTCTGGCACCCCTTCACATTACACAGCCACCTGCACCTCTGGCACCCCTTCACATTACACAACCCCCTGCACCTCTGGCACCCCTTCACATTACACAGCCCCCTGCACCTCTGGCACCCCTTTGCATTACACAGCCCCCTGCACTTATGGCACCCCTTCACATTACACAGCCCCCTGCACTTCTGGCACCTCTTGACAATACACAGCCCCCTGCAGCTCTGGCACCCCTTCACATTACACAGCTCCCTGCACCTCTGGCACACCTTCACATTACTCAGCACTCTGCACCTCTGGCACACCTTCACATTACACAGCCCCCTGCACCTCTGGCACACCTTCACATTACTCAGCTCCCTGCACCTCTGACACCCCTTCACATTACACAGCCCCCTGCACATCCGGCACCTCTTCACATTACACAGCCGCCTGCACCTCTGGCACCCCTTCAGATTACACAGTCCCCTGCACCTCTGGCACCCCTTCACATTACACAGCCCCCTGCACTTCTGGCACCCCTTTACATTACACAGCCACCTGCACCTCTGGCACCCATTCACAATACACAGCCCCCTGCAGCTCTGGCACCCCTTCACATTACACAGCCCCCTGAACCTCTGGCACACCTTCACATTACTCAGCTCCCTGCACCTCTGGCACCCCTTCACATTACACAGCCGCCTGCACCTCTGGCACACCTTCACATTACACAGCCCCCTGCACCTCTGGCACACCTTCACATTACTCAGCTCCCTGCACCTCTGGCACCCCTTCACATTACACAGCCGCCTGCACCTCTGGCACCCCTTCACATTACACAGCCTCTTGTACCTCTGGCACCCCTTCACATTACACAGCCCCCTGAAGCTCTGACACCTCTTCACATTACACAACCCTCTGAACCTCTGGCCCACTTCACTTTACACAGCCCCTGGCAGCTATTCCCACTCCTTGACATCACAGCCACCACAGCTCTGCCCTTTCCTACCTTAGTCAGGCACACAGAGCTAGAGACACAGCAGTGCTAGATAGAGGGTGTGAGCGGGAGCTGCTGGAGTTCACTTTTTTAATAATAAAAAGCTGTTGATTGGTTTGTAGGACCACCTAGCAACCAAACACCTGCTGATTAACTTGGAAAGTTACCTTTGGCAGCTCCTGCTCCCACCTTCTATTCAGCACTCTGTGTCTCCCGTTCTGTGTGTAGAACTGTTTTGCCTCCTGCTCTCTGCTCTACTGTGATAGTGACAGTGGAGGAGGCAGGGAGAAAGAACCAGTTCCTAAATCGAGGGACTGCGGTGGTCTGGATGGGACAGTGAATTGGTCCGCATTCAGACCATGGTCCACCATTTAGTGATGCCTGCACTAAATAATTCCCAGCTCCACCAAGATCTTCATTGTGTATCCTGCTCAGTGCTGCACAGCCTCTTCCTTACAAATTCTCCCTGCCAGGCAAATGGCGTTTGATGTACTAAATACAATGAAAACATACTGAACTTTAAATCCTTACAGTAAGAGCAGTGTGAGTATGAGGTGGGGGCACTAATAGGACAACTGCCACAGTAAAAAGAAAAAAATAATGAAAGGAGGTGCTACAACCAGTGAGCTGTCAACATTTTTTCCAATATAAAGCATATGTTTTAGAAGCCAGTATAATGCTAGGGCAACTGAAGTCCCTATTAAAATAAAAGTTTAGGATTACAATATTAGCAAAGTCAAAACTTTTATGAACAGCTATGTATATGAATAGCCATGTAATTTTCTGGACTGTTACCTATGATTCATTTATCATAGTGATGCATGTAACATTTCACAGAATATCTCTGTGATTTCTTTTATACTTGCCAATAATGAGAGACTGGATTTTAAATGGTAAGTATGATTAATGCAGGCGATATCCTGTGATTAAAAAGGGTAACAATGTTGAGACTGCTAAGCATTTAAAGGACACGTTCTGTAAATCCTGAAGATGCTAGTCTAGTCAGTAAGGGGAGTAAAACAAATCCCTTAAGTGCAAATTGTGACATATTTAAAGTAGTGGTTGTGTCATTGTAGTCTAAAAAGATCACGCTTCACAACAGCATGCCAAAAGAAAATAGCTATTAAATGACTGGCTTTCCTTTGTAAAAATATGTTATAGCATATAAAAAAGTGCAAAAATATCCTAGCATTGAAAGAGCACCTGTCAGCAATCTTACATTACCAACTAAATCAGAAAAGCCATTTTTTAATAACATAGTTCAAATATGCCGTGGTTGGCATTTGCATTGCATTGATGGATAATGCATCTGAACAATAAAATTTGGATTCAACTACACTGGATGAATATAGAGCTTACTCTGAAGTATTACAAAAAACTTAGACTAGGAACAAGCATAATCCAGCCTGATACATGACTCAGCTACTATGTTCTGAGCTTACTTGGACCAATGTCATGTCTAACAAAATTTAGAAAAAATGTCTGGATAGAATGGTAGCGTGAGTATCACAGCACATGAGATTAACCATGGATTTGTAAGAATTAGCTTCTGAAAATGTAGGACAAAATCAGTGTTAACTTGTTTTCCCAATATCCACCAAAACAATGTACGTATTCTAGAAAGGCACTGGAAATGTACTTACTAGAACCACATGACAGAACTGGAATGTGAAAACAGTATGCCGAATGTACAGTATGTGCACACATTACGCTTACTGAGAATACACTGGCATTTTAAATATACGGGTGGGGTATAAAGGGAAATCACACTGGTTTTGAGACAGTTTTATTCTTTCTTTTTAAGTTTCTACATGTTTAAACCGATGGTTTATATATTTTTTATTGTATATTTTTTTTTAACTTACAAACATCTAATATAGGGTTCTCTTATAACAATAGTATGCCAAAGCATTATGGATTTTCTAAAAACAGAGCCAAGCAGAAGCTGTCTGCCTTAAGACTCTCTATCAGTCTCTCAATGTTGGAAATTCCATTTAAACAGAGGGTGGGGGGAAGGGTGGGCTACCCTTCTTACTCATTCCTTAGTGTATAAATGTGAGCTTGTGGTATTAAACTAAACTGAAGCGCAAGTAGAGTTCTGATCCTATATGCTACTAGTATTGTACTTATACGCCATGTGATGATAATACCCTGTTACAGAAACTGATCATTCTGACTGAAGGTCAATATATTGGATTGGAGATGCCCATGCTTGTGGATGG